AAAATCAAGGTCAAGTTTCTTGATGAGGGAAACTAAATTTTGACCTCATTTAGATCTGAATTTTCAATTGATAACCCTCGCCATTCGGACCTCGTTTCAGCTTTGCTTTTCTCCCGCTTTTATACCTGTTGAAATTGTGTACACTTCGCTTGTGGGATAGTATTTGTCTCAACCGCGTCATGCGTGCGTCCTATCCAACAATTCCACATTAATAAATAGAAGGAAAAAACACACTTAAAACGAGGTCCGAATGGCAAGGGTCACCAATTAATTGTTGAGATGGATACAGAATTTCGACAAATATGTAATACCTTTCGCCGACCACTGCATGACTTCGACTATTTCTTCTATTTTCCAGCCTAATCAACTCTTACAAGTAAATTTACACTGCAATGCACATCATATTTTTGAAATTGGTGTTTTAATAGAGTAGAAACTTGAGTGTCGAATTGTTTATTGTGTTCGTTAAAATCTTTATAGTAGTATAGTACACATTGAACTACAGCCATGAATGAAAGTCCATTAATATAAAAGAATTTGCTTGATCCGTAAATGTTCGAAATTACAAAGGTAAATTTATCAGTACGCCGAAAAGCAAAAGAAATAATTCGAAGTCAAGTTCCTGGAGAGAGGTCAATTGTGTTATCAATAAGGTATATATTTCTTAATGAAACCACAATTTATATGATTATCTGGCATAGATATGATTTTTGTCTACTGGACTTTGGCAAGTCTTAACCGCATCCCACATGCACATGCCCCCAACAATGTTAACATGTATTAACAGAAAAGACAAACAATTAAACTTTCGGCCTGACCAAATGTCGAAGGTTATCAATTTAATGTCGAGATACAGATTCTGCTGGCAAACAATAACTCCGCCGACGAATTTGACCTCGATTTATTTATACTTGAGCAGGCGAATATAAAATTAAACTTTAAACTCAAGCATAAACCAAGTTGATGATTCCCCTTATTACGTTTTCGTAGCGCTTTGCATTGTGGTTATAGTGGTATCACTAATAAAGATAGCGGCCTCGAATGAAAATATTGAATGTTTTCGCGAATATTTTGCTGTTGGATATAGCACACCTGACCCTAACTTTTTTAAAAGTTCTTGCACGGGTCAAGACAAAAAATAAGCTATCTTGAATGTCAGTGATACCACTAGGCACTATAACCACAATACAAAGCGCTACGAAAACGTAATAAGGAGAATCGTCAATTTAGGTGTCTAAACTAAGACCTGGGTCTAAACTTCGGGGAACAAGGGAAGCAAAATTGTTAAGGTATTTGGAATGCGAGCGCCAAAGGCGCGAGGAATCTAGGAGTATTCTGGGGCATGCTGCCCCTCGAAAACTTTGTATTTTTAGATTCATTAGAAGGCTATTTAACCTATTTTAAGAGGAGGTTTGAAGAAAAGTTACTGTACCACAAAAAACAATTTTTAAGTTAGGCCACTTGTTCGATCGAAAAAATTTCTTTTGTATAACATTGTACCAGGGCCTTTTTTAAGGATTTTCCCGTGGGGAGCGGGCATTTTTTTGGAAAGGACCTTTCTGTGGGATGATGCATTAGAGAGGAATAGCAATGGCAGAAAGCCACGCGTGGTCGACATACCACGCATGAATAGGGGGGTCTGGGGGCGTACTCCCGCAGAAAGTTTTGAAATTTGAAGCCGGGAAATGCCATTTCAAATTGGTTTCTGACAATAGATTAACGCTAAATATCAAGAAGACGAAATTTCTTTTGGAAGGTAGTAAACTTGGCATTGAGATAGATCGGCTCCAGTCTTTTAAATATTTCGGTGTGAAATTGGATAAGAAATGGGGTTGGAAGACACATATTAAAGATTTGCTTCGAATGTTAGGCCATCCACTCCCCGTATTTAATCGAATTTATCATATTAGGCCGTATTCTGTGGCACGATATCATTCAATTCCGTTGCCATGGTTCGGGCACTACTTTGAAACAAGATAAATAATTAGGATAAATCATGCAAAATCCAAATCCGCTTGTTGGCACTTCTCAAAACCTGCAGTTTTCGAGTATTTCTTCTTCGAAAATTCAAGAAATCTACATCTTTCGCAATCAATCGCCGCCATTTTTGTTCAGGATACTTGGTGTAAAAAACACTATAAATGGCAATTTTCGCGGGCTCACGCTCGTTCTTACATGAAGTTTCCAGCTAAGCATTTGTAAACATGGCGTCTTCAGATTCATGTTTACTTCATTTTGAAGGGAAAAAAGGCCCACTTACAAGTTTTAGTGCGTTTTTTTATCTAAAATGTTTAGATTGTCGTAGAATTTGGCTAATTCTAGACAGGGACGAACGCAATGTTGCTCAAAGAAGTTTGCAATTTGTTAGCGACAGCATGCAAATTTCTCTTATGATCTTATCATCGAGGTTGTTACTCAGCATTCACAAATAGCAGTATGGCAAACGAGCTCAAGTGCATTGTTAGAATATGGACAGAGAAGGTGTACCTTCATCCTCTGGTATCGATATTAATTATGATGAAGAAACGGAATCAGATGAAACTCCCCCTTGCACCTGTAAAGATACTGTATAAATGCTGAGATAGTGAGATCTAGATTGCATTGAGAACTAGACTCAGTTCCGAAATATCACATACTCAAACCGACCTGACCGCGTAGCTCAGTTGGCAGAGCATTGGGCTAGTATTCCAAAGGTCATAGGTTTGATCCCAGCGTGGAAAAAGCTGGTGAAAGTATTTTTATTCAAATTGCTGATAAGGACCTGGTGGCTTGTAGCATTGGAAGTGAAATATCATAAACATTGTTATGAAAGGTTTCCACAACTTCTTTTCCATGGACCAAAGGTATGAAACAAGAGTGAAATTGTTTATGCAGATTGCCTCAGTCAAGCAAGTGTAGCAGAAAGTGTTATGCATGATGACATAGAAACGTGTCAGAATTCACATAAGTCTGAATCTGATGATGACATTGGAACGACATCTATGTGCAGTACACAAGTACAACACTGAAAGAAATGTATATAGTTGACCTAACCGTGAGAAACAACTTCCTTTATTGTCCACCACATGCATCAGATATTACTGGTAAAAACATCAGAAAGTTTGTATCACTTCTCTCGTTTAATTTTATGGCATGGATTCTTGGGGTTTCAGATGACCCAAAAGAGGCCGATGACATTAAATTAGATGAGCAAACTACATCAAAGATTTTTCTCTGTGTCATGATTTGGACTACATTTCTAATAGGAGGAAAGTACAGACACTTAAGTCCCTAGCAATGACCGATCGACAGATTTCTGGTTCTTCTGGCCTGATAAGATTTTGAGTGGTTTTGGACATTGTGTCTCACACTCTTTGACAATGGCATATAATTCAGCTATTGCACAGGCAACTATCTACACATCAACATTATTCCAGTAATATCTGATGCATGTGGTGGCCTGTTCTTGTACCAAGCTGATGCACAATCATGCAAGTTGTTTCTAAATGTTAGGCCAACTGCACACATTTCTTTCAATGTTACACTTGTGTATGTGGATGCTTTCGTTCCAATGTCAACATCAGATTCAGACTCTTGCAAGTGAACTCTGAGATGTTTCTACGTCATCATCCATAAAACCTTCTGCTACACTTGCTTGACTAAGGCACTCTGCATATTAAACAATTTCACTCTTGTTTCATACCTTTGGTCTATGGAAAAGAAGTTGTGGAAACCCTTTACATGGCTGTGTACTTTTCATAACAATGTTTATGGTATTTGACTTCCAAAACTACTAGGTCCTCATTACCCTGGTTGCCAGAGGTTCTGTATCTTTCGCCTTATTCCCGCTCGTATATTTATTTTACGCGAGGCGAAGAGAACCTCTGGTGGCACGCGATACAAATCTCTCTTCCTTTGGTACAAAATTTGTACCAAGCACATGATTGGTTAGTTATAATTAGCAGTCACATGAAGTGATGTGATTGGCTAGACAAAAAAACCTGTTTATAAATCTCAGAGACATGATGTAAACAAAATACAGAAATAATACGAATGTATTAAAATGCTTTACTCAGTGTGGGTTATTTGAGTTTAACTTAGTTTGTCCGCTATAAAAAGACTTTCTGCGCTGGAGAAGAGCTGCAGTGCCATCGCGGCATGACTTGAGTCGACGGCATGACATGTTCACTCTATTACAGTAGTAATATTTGTAAAATATAAAGTGTCGGTCACTTGCTTTATATCGTTCAAGGTTTTAAATTTTGGCAATTCTTTGATTTTAATAGTTATTAATATGATTTATTTTGCCAATATTATTCCATTGTCTGTTAAGGACAACCATACCGGCTCCGTTGCACACGTATATATAAATATTTATATGTTTATATTCTTTCACTTTTGACTTTATACGTTCGCTATAAATAGACCTAATACAAACGGCATTCCACAATCAGTAAGGTTGCTTTTTGCTTTGTGCGTTGCGAGAATAATCTATATGTTTCTAATGAATAATCTACATGTTTCGGCTGCTTATTTTCAGTATTTTACACCGAGTTTTACACAAGGCTGTCTGAAGAGAGCTATTTTGGTAGTATGACAAACCCGGAAGTTTAAAAACGTCACAAAATATAAAACCGGTTTTGCAAGTTCTCAAACGGCAACGTCAGCATAGAAGAGAGATTTGTATCGCGTGCCACCAGAGGTTCTCTTCGCCTCGCGTAAAATAAATATACGAGCGGGAATAAGGCGAAAGATACAGAACCTCTGGCAACCAGGGTAGGTCCTCATCAGCAATTTGAATCACCAATCACTAGCTTTCTTGTTGCTGCGTCTTTCAGTTTAGCAGCTTTTGCTTTTTCGACTTCTAAATAATAAAGAACCCATGATGCATGGAAATCACACAACCGTTATAAAGTGAACGGCTGCGGCCAGTGTAATAAACTTATCAACTAACTGACATACGTCTCCCATCTTGTAACAAGTCTGCCAACAGCCATCAACAAGTTGTCTTCGCACTGCTTGTCCGAAGTTGTCAACAAGTTTGGAACAAGCTGTTAACAACTTGTAACAACATTGTTAATATTATTAGGCTGTTGCAAGGTTGTTCCAACAAGTCTGATACAGTCATGATAGAACAATATTGTTACAACCTGGTGTCGTCAATCTTGTAACATTCTTGTAGCAAGACTGATAATGCCATTAAGCTTCTTACAAGTTGTTAACAGCTTGTTCCAAACTTGTTACAACAACTGGGAGCAAGCAGTGTGAAGGCAACCTGTCGACAGCTTGTGAAGAGATTTATAACAACTTGTTTGCAGACTTGTAACAACTTTTGTGTTTTTACGCGTGTAGGCGATCTCAGCATTTTCTTTACGGGTCGAGTTTCATCTGATTTCGTTTCTTCATCATTTATATCACTGATTTATATTAATATCGATACCAGAGGATGAAAGCACACCTTCTTTGTCCATACTCTGACAACTCGGTTGATCATACTGCTATTTCCCACGCCCCCCTGGAAATTAGCTTTCTGCTGTAGGGGTTAGCGTGGTGAAATAAAGTTTTACCTACCTACCATTTGTGAATGCCGAGTAACAACCTCGATCATAATAGAAATTTGCATATTCGATACTTTCAACTGTGCATGCTACTTTCCAAATATTTCCATGCTGTCGCTAACAAATTGCAAACTTCTTTGAGCAACATTGCGTTCGCCCCGTCTAGCATTAGCCAAATTATACGACAATCTAAACATTTTTTATACAAAACCGCACTAAAACTTGTAAGTGGGCCTTTTTTCCCCTCAAAATGAAGTAAACATGAATAAGAAGACGCCATGTTTACAAATGCTAAGCTGGAAACTTCATGTAAGAACGAGTGTGAGCCCGCGAAAATTGCCATTTATAGTGTTTTTTACACCAAGTATCCTAAACAAAAATGGCGGCGATTGATTGCGAAAGATGTTGATTTCTCGAGTTTTCGAAGAAGAAATACTCGAAAACTGCAGGTTTTGAGAAGTGCCAACAAGCAGATTTGGACTTTGTATGATTTATCCTAATTATTTATCTTGTTTCAAAGTAGTGCCCGAACCATGGCAACGGAATTCATTTTCTAAACGACTTTTCGTGCCACAGAATACGGCCTATATGTTGGATCGTAAATCTCTTGTTGCATATTTTAGTCCTACCACATTTAGACTGCGCAGATATGGTCTGATCTCCCCATAATCCAAGATGGAACAACTACGTGCTTTTCAGAATCGATTTGTTAAGAAACTCCAAGGGGCTAAGCAGCCATCGTCTAATGCAATGAAATCTTAAAAATGGATTCCACTAACAGGACGACGTTTTAGTCACCGTTGCATTTCTGTCCGCAGTGCAATCAAAGGAAATATACCCGAACATTTCGAATGTTACAGATTAAGCTTAAGGAACTTCCATGAATACAATACAAGGAACAGTCAGTTGCCCAGGCTACCTAAGCCAAGTATGCTGAATGGGGCAAGAGGAAAACCTCTTATAGGGCCACAAATGATTGGGCATCACTTCCAAGTACCCTGAAGAAACCTATAGGCGTATCTCAAAATATTTTTAAGAGAGAACTCAAAATATTTTTAATTAGTCAATACTGTTGTACTTATAGTTAACTTACATGCATTCATATCATTATTTTGAGGGCCTTCCTGAAAGCACTATATTGATGATGGATGCCTTCCTCTGTAAAGACCAAATATTTTGCCATTTGAAAAACGATTGAAAGTTTGAAACAATTACAAAATGGTTAGGTACAAGCCAATAATGATTAATCACGTGCACGAATTTATCGATTCAGCAATTTTAACGACAGTTTGTTTTTAAACGAAATTTAAAATTTATTCAACAAAATGCTGTTACAACCATATTCTACTATGATTCACATGTTAATATATGTGACTTAAGCTATATGCAAAGCTAAGTCTGTCTGTAGGTTGATTTTTCTATTTCTACCAGTGGTTTGTCCTTTAAATGCTTATTTTCGTTCAGGTAATAACAGACATTACTAGCAGCATAATGCCTTAACGTTGTCGTTTTCGCACTCAGAAATACAGGTATGCACATCTGTAGAATCAAGACAGCCACATGTTGCTACGCAACCGAATGCACATTTATTGGCGGGACAGGTCACTGTCCCGTTACCAGTAACAACTTCACATTCCGATTCTGACGAAACTCCTGGCTCGCCTGCAAGTAAAGTGATAAAACACTTGTGAGAATCAAGCATAATTAACAAGATTTACATCTAATAAAAAATTTCAAAGACTATCATAAATATCACTCGAAATTTCTTTTAGCAAAACAGCAGTGAACATCGTGGATGACGACTTAATACTCACATGGTCTGTGTGGCAGGCTCTAGTTGGAGAAGAAAAGCAGAGGCAAAGCTAGCCATAACAACTAGCCATGTTATGCTAATAAATTAGCATCTAAACAGGTTAAAGTCAATACATTTAACAATTATTCGCCAAAGGCTCGGTGATTATCGGGGAATATTCGCCGAGACGAAGTCGAAGTGAATATTCCCCGATAATCACCGAGCCTGAGGGCTTGTGTTTTTCTGGTCAGAATTCATTTTAATTTTGCTTATTTCTTTATCGCTAACTTCAACAAAACGGCTAGCCGCCTTTTTGAAAATTTCGATTTTGTTATATTCACCTGTAGGTGAATATAGCAGATTAATAAGTCAAATTTGACCAATCACCTTGTAGGATTTGTTATGTTCACTTGTGCAAAAATACTAATTATAAATATTTAAATAATGCGAATCATTAAAAATTTGCAGTGAACTATGGCCTGTTGCTATGGCTAGCTTTGCTACTGCAGAAAAACCCGGCTTTTGGCCCCCGTTCTCGATTTTTCTTTACCCTTTCAACGAAGGCCCAACACGCAGGCTGCAATTCAAATTGTTATTGCGCTTTGTTAGTTTACTGTCGTTGCAAAGGAAGTGTTGATAAAATATCGTATCAATTCATTACTTAGAACTGATAAATTTTTTCGTTGAAAAATTAATCAGCTTTCTGTGTATTTGAATCAACCAATGGCTTTACGTTTCAGTGACTGATTTACCAATTGGAAACAAGCATGCCAGTAAACAGAAGTTGAGCAATTTTTTACCAAATGAATTGATCAATGTTAGGTAATGAGTTGTTGCAGTATCAACACTTATAGACTCTAGAATTCCCAAATGCTGTTTCACTTTATACAATTATTTATAATTATTAATTGCAAACTGGTGGCAAAACGGACAGTCGATCGCCATTGCAATATCACAGTGATTATAAATGTTTGAACAAGTAAAAACTACCTACCTAGCCACTCTGGGTTTAGTCTTGACTTAATTAATTTTGGAAACTGGCTATACTGAGCCTGGTGTGCTCATACGTGACCTGACATCTTTACCCCACGACCATGTCTCGGAAAGCTGAGCCAAGCGACAAGCGGGTCAGCCACTTCTTCATATGAACAAAGCAATAAGTAAACCAATTCCAAACCTTTTGGTTAGCGGTCAACTCTCCCAGCATAGACATTTTCCAATGTTTTACCTTTTGGGCCGGGAGGTCCACGAAGTCCGGGTGCACCAGAAGATCCGCGATACCCTCTGTCTCCTTTGTACCCTCTCGGTCCTGGTGGTCCTTTAAGTCCAAGACTTCCGGCTGGACCACGAGATCCAGGAGACCCTCTGTCCCCTTTGGACCCTCTCGGTCCTTCTGGTCCTTTAGATCTAGGACTTCCGGCTGGACCATGATATCCGGGAGACCTTCTGTCTCCTTTGGGCCCTTTTGGTCCGGGTGGTCCACGAGCTCCTGGTGATCCTCGCCGTCTCCAGCCGTGTCCTAATAAATAAAACTTAGCAGATCATTGATTTAAAAACTAGGAGTGAATTGTGTATTTGGTATGCCGAAATTAAGGTAATGGGGG